CCAGGTTTAGGGTACCCTGTGTAATAATACCTTGTTAGTAAACAGTTTTAGTGCAAATGATATTTTCTCTTTTTTGCAATTGTATATTATTACTGTTGTTTATTATTTGCTCGCTCGGTGTTCTGCCCATGGAAACATCTTTTCTTTCAGCTTTGGTGTGTCAGAGGGTGCTGTATTATTGGAAAGGTTGTTATTGCTAGGAACCAGGGAACCCATACATCAGTGACGACTCCTGGGGGTAAATGCTACAATAATATACAGTATACAATGAATATATTCCATTTGTAGTGAGTATACACCAAAGATATTAATAAACATAAATAATGAAAGCAACCAGTATCTAGATGTGTGCAAACTCCAGAAACTGCAAAGGATAATAATAAAGCTTGTTGTATAGATGCAGTGTGGTGCAAAGGTAGTAAACACACAGAGGCCCAGAATGCAGTAATTATATTGCAGAACTTGTAATGGTAAAACAACCCGACAGGGGAACCCACTTGACTAGGGACTTACAGTAACTGGAGCAGAGAGTCAGTGGTGAGTAAGCCCAACTGAAGACAGCGTCTTTCAAGGAGGGGAGAATGCGGTCTGGCCAGTCCACCCTAAAGGGAAGCTCTCTGAAGAAGCAGACGTAGGCCCTGAGCTTTCACTACTCCTGCGGAACCTCTCCTACTGCTATTGCTGTCCCTGCACTAGCCACTATGCAAATGTTCTCCAAAACCTGGGAACAGGGACTTAACCAATTGCCCTCCAAAGGATTTACCGCCCTTCCTGACCAGGCCATTTTTTGCATTACGGTGCTGCGTTACTATAACTGACAATTGAGCAGTCATGCAACGCTGCACTCAAATTAAATTTGCGTCCTTTTTTTTTCCCACGAATAGAGCTTTCTTTTGGTGGTATTTGATCGCCTGTGCATTTTTATTTTTTGCACTATAAAAAAAAAGTCCGGCAATTTTGAGAAAAAAAAACAATATTTTTGACTTTTTGCTATTAAACATGTCCAAAAAATTTCAAAATTCAATTGTCAGATTTCAGATTTTGTCATAAATTTAGGCCAAAACGTATTGTGCTATGCTATGTCTTTGCTAAAAAAATCCCAATAAGTGTAAATTAATTGGTTTATGTGGAAAGTTATAGCGTTTGCAAATGGCGATATATATACTGGGATTTTTTTTTTTAACTAGTAATTGCGGCAATCAGCGACTTATAGCGGGACTGCGGCGGGCATTCTGACCCTGCGGGGAACTGACTTGGTGTCACTGACATCCCCAGTGACACCAATACAGTCATCAGTGCTAATAAAAAGCACAGACACTGTACTAATGACACTGGGTAGGAAGGGGTTAGCATGAGGGGCGATCAAAGGGTTAACAGTGTGCTGTGTGCTGTTTTACTAGGGTCTGTGTGTGTGCTTCACTGTAAGTGTGCAGGAGCTGACAGGGGAGAGAACTGTTTAGTCTACAAACGTTTCTGCCCCCATCGGGGATGCTTAGCAATTAACGGGCACCGGCGAGGAATCACCGGCTGGGACCCGGTGATTGAAGTCCACGGCCGTGAATGGCAGCTCGGGTAGGGGGCGCACCTCGTGCGCTCCCCTGCCCGGACATGCAAAAATCACGTACAGTCAGGTCCATAAATATTGGGACATCGACACAATTCTAACATTTGTGGCTCTATACACCACCACAATGGATTTGAAATTAAACAAACAAGATGTTCTTTAACTGCAGACTGTCAGCTTTAATTTGAGGGTATTTACATCCAAATCAGGTGAACGGTGTAGGAATTACAACAGTTTGCATATGTGCCTCCCACTTGTTAAGGGACCAAAAGTAATGGGACAGAATAATAATCATAAATCAAACTTTCACTTTTTAATACTTGGTTGCAAATCCTTTGCAGTCATTAAAAGCCTGAAGTCTGGAACGCATAGACATCACCAGACGCTGGGTTTCATCCCTGGTGATGCTCTGCCAGGCCTCTACTACAACTGTCTTCAGTTCCTGCTTGTTCTTGGGGCATTTTCCCTTCAGGTTTGTCTACAGCAAGTGAAACGCATGCTCAATCGGATTCAGGTCAGGTGATTGACTTGGCCATTGCATAACATTCCACTTCTTTCCCTTAAAAAACTCTTTGGATGCTTTTGCAGTATGCTTTGGGTCATTGTCCATCTGCACTGTGAAGCGGCGTCCAATGAATTCTGAAGCATTTGGCTGAATATGAGCAGATAATATTGCCCGAAACACTTCAGAATTCATCCTGCTGCTTTTGTCAGCAGTCACATCATCAATAAATACAAGAGAACCAGTTCCATTGGCAGCCATACATGCCCACGCCATGACACTACCACCACCATGCTTCACTGATGAGGTGGTATGCTTAGGATCATGAGCAGTTCCTTTCCTTCTCCATACTCTTCTCTTCCCATCACTCTGGTACAAGTTGATGTTGGTCTCATCTGTCCATAGGATGTTGTTCCAGAACTGTGAAGGCTTTTTTAGATGTTGTTTGGCAAACTCTAATCTGGCCTTCCTGTTTTTGAGGCTCACCAATGGTTTACATCTTGTGGTAAACCCTCTGTATTCACTCTGGTGAAGTCTTCTCTTGATTGTTGACTTTGAAACACATACACCTACCTCCTGGAGAGTGTTCTTGATCTGGCCAACTGTTGTGAAGGGTCAGTGAAAGAATTCTTCGGTCATCCACCACAGTTGTTTTCCGTGGTCTTCCGGGTCTTTTGGTGTTGCTGAGATCACCGGTGCGTTCCTTCTTTTTAAGAATGTTCCAAACAGTTGTTTTGGCCACGCCTAATGTTTTTGCTATCTCTCTGATGGGTTTGTTTTGTTTTTTCAGCATAATGATGGCTTGCTTCACTGATAGTGACAGCTCTTTGGATCTCATCTTGAGAGTTGACAGCAACAGATTCCAAATGCAAATAGCACACTTGAAATGAACTCTGGACCTTTTATCTGCTCATTGTAATTGGGATAATGAGGGAATAACGCACACCTGGCCATGGAACAGCTGAGAAGTCAATTGTCCCATTACTTTTGGTCCATTAACAAGTGGAAGGCACATATGCAAACTGTTGTAATTCCTACATCGTTCACCTGATTTGGATGTAAATACCCTCAAATTAAAGCTGACAGTCTGCAGTTAAAGCACATCTTGTTCGTTTTATTTCAAATCCATTGTGGTGGTGTATAGAGCCAAAAATGTTAGAATTGTGTAGATGTCCCAATATTTATGGACCTGACTGTATATATATATGTGATTTTGCGCACCCATGCCACCCTGTAGCAGTACTTCTGCTATAGGGTAGACAGGAAGTGGTTAATAAGCCTCTACGTGACCCAAGATGGCTGCCAGGGTCACTTAGATGAAGCGTAGACAACCAAACCGCTGTTCCAGGGAACCAAGGGAATCAGAGAGGAACTCAGTTTCTCTTGACTTCCCCCTTCAGCTGCACTGCTGCTTCAAACAAACACCACCTACAGTGGAGAAACTAGAGTGCATTTGCCTACCACCTAATTATAAACAGATTAAAAGAAAGTGTCCGATGCTTCAGTTGTATAAAGTGCCCAATGTATAAATCAAAGTGCCCTCTGCTTGTGCCACTTAAACATCCACTATTGAACGCTTCAATGATGCACCATAAACTCCAATCAGCGCTTCAATCTGTGCCCATGATGTACCGCCACCATCTTAGAAAAATAACCAGACAGCACTGACCCATTTAATTAAAGAGTGGGTCTACAGGCGCCTTATCCCCCTCCAGGGTATGTCTTCGTTATCTCTATCCAGTATTCCATTTATTGACCTCATAATTCATGGGTGTTACATAGAGGAAAGAAAGGCCTCCGAAGTATAAAAACCTTTTATTTGCTCAATAAAAATGTTTAAAACAAGTACACTGACATATTTATGTGTAAATACCCTACACACAGGAACAACCGCTTAATTCTCTTCGGATCGCCGCCTCCTCTATCCATTCGAGTCCAGCTTTTGTGTGCCCATGTCACTATGAAACTTCTGGTTTCCTCTGCGTGATGTTGTCAGCTCCTGCAACTCCCCCTGAGCAGGCCACCGAAACCTAAATAAAACCACCCACAAACAACAATAGTTCAACTATTGACCTCTGCAAGGTTTTACGCCCTTCATGACAGGACAGTTTTTGCTATTTAGCACTTTACTTCTTTAACTGACAATTTTTTGGTCATGCAACACTGTACCCAAATGAAATTTATACCATTTTTTTCACATAAACAGTGCTTTCCTTTAGTTGTGAGTAATCACCTTGGGGGGTTTTTGCTATATAAATATATAAATATTGAAAATAAACATGTTTTTTAGCTTCTGTTACAAACAAATATTTCTTCATAAATTTAGGCCAAAATGTAGTCTGCTACATTTCTTTGGTTAAAATAACCTAAATCAGTGTATATTATTTAGTCTGTGTAAAACTCATAAAGTCTACAAACTATGTTATATATATTTTGAAAATGTATCGATACTGATGGCCTATAGCATTTCTTGAGGCCCTAAAATGCCAGGACATTAAATAATTTTTATTCAATTTCTTAAACTTTTTAAAACTTTTTTTTCTTTTTTTGCAGTTTTTTTACATACTGCCATAAGAGCAGTACAGGGTCACCATACTAACACTGCACTATTCGGAGGGGGGCGCGGGTGATCAGAGTTTTTTTTTTTTTTGCGTATAACAGTGATGATCGCTTTTGGAAGTAAAAATTTCATAATTGGCTTTCATTCATGACAGCTTGCTAACTATTGTGATGCTGTGATTGGCTACAGCTAAGCACATGGTACAGGGTGCCAGGTACAATGTGATAACTGTGGGCCAATCACACCATCACAATAGTAAGTAGGCTGCCATGAATGGAAGCCATTCATGACAGTTTTGCTTACATGTAATCATGTGATCGCAATGATTCGTCATAGCAATCACATGATACCCCAGCCTCTCACAGCGGCCTGGGCACTGAGCACCATGATCTACTGTGTCCACAGGTTTCGGGCCACTGCAGATCCCAGGGGGCACTCCAGTACACATGTGCTGAGCGATGTATCTGTAAATATACCATAGGCGGGCAGTAAGCGGTTAAAACATTCTGCACCAATAAAAATGAATAATAAAACAATTAAAATCAATGTCAGTGTTTAAATCACAGGGAACTAACATATTTAAGTGTAAAGATTTATTTCATTTAATTTTGTGAAATTTGTGGTCTCATATCTATCCTTCTTCAATGTTTTGTAATTTTATCAATCCCATAGAATGTTACAACCTTGGATCCTTATTAAGAGTTTCCTTAAAGCAGTACTAAACTGCAGGTAAAAATATCCCCTGCAAAGTAATCTCATAATGTGCTAGTATGCAACGTATACTACCACATTATGTAAAACGTACCTCAAAACAAAGCCCTCCAGAGGCCATTACTAGGACAGGTAGAGGACAAGTGGAATGATTTGTTTTCCTCTCCTCCTTCTTGCTTCCCGCCTTCCCCTCCCCTGTTCTTTGTTCCTTTTTTCCTTCTGGATTAATGTGGAAGGCATTTTGTGGTAACAGGAAAAGGAGAGGAGACTAAAAAAATACCTTGGATGCGATATAGTGTGACCTCACAAGAATGTATCATCAGGCTTCTACACATAGAACAGATTTGTGTCTCCTCCTCCCAGGGAGATGATTGGTGTGGATGGTGGTCCTCTAAGCATGTGATTCCAGTCTGGGAGTAACCTTCTATTTTAGCTTAAGAGCCTGAGGAAATGGGGTTGGATACCCACAAAACACATCTTAATTAATGCCTTGTTTCTCCTGAGTGGACCCTACTTTCCATCTGGGAGCCTTACCGTTGAATGAAGAGGAATACATAGCGATTGACTGTGAAACACGTGGAATTAAGGTAATAAGTTTAAATCATACTTTTTTACTGTATAATAATAAAAGTTGAATTTAACAGTAAGGCATATTTTGATACTATTCCTGGCACCTTTAAAGTCCCATAACTAGAAGAAACTTTGATTGTATCAATTGAGCTGTCAATAGATATGTTGGTGTCTATCCACACAATCCTGGCATCAGTTATATATAAAATTTCATCCCTAATGTGTATGATACACTATGCTTAGTATATCTCTTATACTGTTAACATGCTCACTGATTCGTTTGCTTAGCTTCCTAGTGGGTCTACCTACATACTGGAGGCCACTAGGGCACTCCAGCGCATAGGTGACATAGGTGTTATTACACGAGATGAAGGGTTTAATGTCATATACTGTATCTTTTGGATGGGCCAGTGTTTTTTGATAATCTTCTCTACAGCTCTGTAATCTCTGCTATACTCTGTTATAAAAGCATCTTACATATATTTACTATTATTCATTTGTTCCTTATTCAGCAGTATTCCTCTATACATTTTACCTATTTCCTCTTTTATCTTTTCCAATTTGTGTCTTTTACTTCCTTTTTTGGTGAACTGATCAATCAATACATTGCTTATCCACCCATTTTGGGTGGTGAAAGATGTTTGTTGGGAATAAGCTGTTATTATCTGTTATCTTAAATCGTGTCTTTGTATACAGCTTTCTTTCGCACTTTAAGGATGGAGATAAAAACAGCTTCCTCCCAACAAAACATCCCAAAGAGACTTATCATGAGAATGAAATGGAACTGACACTTATAAAGAGATTATGAGGAGCAAATCAATGTCTCTTCTTGGACATATCTCTTTTATTTACTATTTACACTTTTACTGAACACTGGGAGTACATTTATCACAATACTCCCAGAGCTTGGACAGGAGAAATGTGCTCTGCTACAGAGCCACCACTCTTGCCAACCCTCCCCTCCACTGTCCATTCACAGAATACTTAGTATAGGTTCATGATTGGGTAAGAGGAAAGGTGGGCAGGCAGAGCTGCTGCAAATTGAATACAGCTGCTGCATTGGAGACCTGAAGGTCCAGCATTGGAAAGCTGTAAGTATAGTGATAGTTATACTCTTGACGTTCAGCAAAAATGTAAATAATATGTAAAAGAGATAAGACCACAAGGTGGCATACACGTTGTTGGACTTTTAAGCCACTAGATTTTTAAAAGTGCTGCTATTCCTGGAGTTTTGTTTTAAATATTTTAATTTGGCTCCAACTGTTAACATTTCCAAGTAGTAACATTCCATTCCTACAGTGAAGGAAATAAGTATTTGATCCCCTGCTGATTTTGAGGAGTAGCTCAAGAAGAACCACATTAAGGTCCTGGAGTGGCCTAGCCAGTCTCCAGACTTTAATCCGACTGAAAATCTGTGGAGGGAGCTGAAAGTTCGAGTTGCCAAACGTCAGCCACCAAACCTTAATGACTTGGAGAGGATCTGCCAAGAAGAGTGGGACAAAATCCCTCCTGAGATGTGTGCAAACCTGGTGGCCAACTACAGGAAATGTCTGACCTCTGTGATTGCCAACAAGGGATTTGCCACCAAGTACTACCGTATTTTTCGCTCCATAAGACGCACTTTTTTCCCCCCAAAAAAGGGGAGAAAATGTCAGTGCGTCTTATGGAGCGAATATAAAGCGGCCGGTCCGGTATTTTTGCGGCCACCATGTCAGAATACTGGGCCGGCCGCTCAGCTGTTGTCTCCTGCAGGGCCTTACCTGTTCCTCGCTCCAGCGCTGCACAGTCTTCCCGCGCTGGCTTCTGTGACAGCCGGGTGCCCACTGCGCATGTGCTGCGCTTTGTGAATGATCCGGTGTCTTCTGGGACACATGAAAGGTCCCAGAAGGCGCCGGGCCATTCACAAAGCGCAGCGCTTCTCGCACATGCGCAGTGGGCACCCGGCTGTCCCAGAAGCCGGCCCGGGAATAAGAGGGAAGGACAACTCCGCGGAAGTGGGAGCGGGTACCTGTCAAATTCAGGTACCCGCTTCCCCTCCCTCCCCAAAGGTCAGCAGTCTCTGGTCATTCCCTTCACTGTCTGCAGTTTCTGGTCATTCCCTGCACTGTCCGCAGTCTCTGGTCATTCCCTGCACTGTCCGCAGTCTCTGGTCATTCCCTGCACTGTCCGCAGTCTCTGGTCATCTCCTGCAATGTGTCCGCAGTCTCTGGTCATCTCCTGTACTGTGTCCGCAGTCTCTGGTCATCTCCTGCACTGTGTCCGCAGTCTCTGGTCATCCCCTGCACTGTGTCCGCAGTCTCTGGTCATCTCCTGCACTGTGTCCGCAGTCTCTGGTCATCTCCTGTACTGTGTCCGCAGTCTCTGGTCATCTCCTGTACTGTGTCCGCAGTCTCTGGTCATCTCCTGCACTGTGTCCGCAGTCTCTGGTCATCCCCTGCACTGTGTCCGCAGTCTCTGGTCATCCCCTGCACTGTGTCCGCAGTCTCTGGTCATCTCCTGCACTGTGTCCGCAGTCTCTGGTCATCTCCTGCACTGTGTCCGCAGTCTCTGGTCATCTCCTGCACTGTGTCCGCAGTCTCTGGTCATCTCCTGTACTGTGTCCGCAGTCTCTGGTCATCTCCTGTACTGTCCGCAGTCTCTGGTCATCTCCTGTACTGTGTCCGCAGTCTCTGGTCATCTCCTGTACACTGTGTCCGCAGTCTCTGGTCATCTCCCTGCACTGTCCGCAGTCTCTGGTCATCTCCTGCAATGTGTCCGCAGTCTCTGGTCATCTCCTGTACTGTGTCCGCAGTCTCTGGTCATCTCCTGTACTGTGTCCGCATCTCTGGTCATCCCCTGTACTGTGTCTGCAGTCCATTGGTTCAGAATATTTTTTTTTCTTGTTTTTCACCTCTAAAACCTAGGTGCCTCTTATGGTCAGGTGCGTCTTATGGAGTGAAAAATACGGTAAGTCATGTTTTGTGAAGGGGATCAAATACGTATTTGACAAATCTGTCTTTCAGTGTTACAATACACCTATCATTCGATGTTTAGACTGATCATTTCTTTGTGAGTGGGCAAACATTCAAAATCAGCAGGGGATCAAATACTTATTTCCTTCACTGTATGTTATGGAATGTGTGTAAAATGCAATTTATCTATTAGTAATAATAGAAACAAAAATACAATCTCTTGTTTAATCCATATAGTCAGGGCTGTATTTCCCATAAAGGCACTTGTGTGCCAGTATCTAGAGTGCTAAGAACAAAAATTTCAAATAAAAGCATTGTAGACACTGGATATGTTTATGCTGTACACATTTTATCAATTCGTGATCAGAAAGAAAAGGGAGTTTCAGGGAATGTGTTTTGTGACATTAAACTTCATCTTTAACACATTCTCTGCATTAAGGTAAAAAAGCCCCACTACCTGTCCTACCCCTCAGCATCCCTAAACACTTGTCTAGTTCCATGTCACCTCTCCAGTACTGTCTCAAGCTCCACTCAACTTACTCCCTGGTTTCGCAGGAGAAATTGAAGGCAAGGAGCCATAGGTTCCTGCTGCTGTCAGTCAAACTCCCATGTGGATGGAGAAGGGGTTTGGCTTACCATTACTCTGTGTGCCTATTGATGCACACAGTCCATTACAGAACCTGAAGGGAGAATGCACACGAAGGAGGAGAAGAGCCTTTAGCATTGACGGGGACTGTGAAAATAGAAGAAAATTCATGCTTCTGTGCAATATCATTGCACAGAGCAAGAACATTACCTCTTTTTAATTGTTTTTTAATTTTAATGAATTTGTGAATAAGAAGTCACCATGTAGCCAGTATTTGGATTTTCCCATGCTGGGGGAATACAGTAATGTTGGCCATGCTCTCACTGGCTGTCTCCGAGTGTGCTTCCTCCATGGAAGTGAGCAGGAAGAGTTGTTGCCACCATTTCTGATGACCTAACTGAGAAGATGCGAGTACCTGATGTTGGTTCTGGTGAAGAGAAATATTTTAGTAAACAAAAGGAAAAGCTCATCTTTTTTAAAGAACGAGAGCCGTGTGGAGTTTATTTGCTCTTTGCGTGTTGATAATGCTGAAGAAAAACCTAGAGTGTGAAGTATGAGATGTAGCAGAAAGGTAAAGATAACTTGGAGAAAAAGTCAATCAGATCGATGACCTTGTTGTTGATGGTACTTCTTGGCCCCAACTACTCTGACTGGTTTTTTGCACAAAGTGCTTACATAGCTTTGAATATGAATAAGCACTTTGTTCCAAACACCTCAGTCTGTATGGCAAGTGGCTTCCCCTTGACTGATGCAAGGTAAATTTGTGTATCAATGTACCTTGAACCAGGCAAAGGTTCAAAAGCTCACAGTGTATGTTGCTAGGTGAGTTGCTAGGTGAGTGCCTCTGCTTAGTGAGCACCTGTCCACAACAGAAGAGGAAGCATCTTGTGAGTGCGCACTGTCTGGCATGAGTACCAACCTGCAGCTGCTATCATGAAATGCTAGTACTAAAAAAAACTTGAATTTTGAGAAATCCATTGATTTTTTTTTTCATCAGGGTTAGGATGTGTTCTTAAAGCACAATCATGTAGCTTGCATAGTAACTCCCTTTGCTTTAAATAATTGATATATGTTTCTTTCTCAAAAGTAACGTTTGTAACATTTTATATCTGGTATCAAAACACAGAGGCTACAGCAAGTATTTTTGAAAATGCATATCTGAGAAGGAATTGGTTGTTTGTTTCTTATCATGAGTAACTTCCCATCTTCTTGTCTGTGCTGGATCTTTTTTTGTGGCACCCTTTATATAGTTTCTTATATAATGTTCTAATATAAGGACCCTGTTGTCCATAACAGCCAAGTTTATAGCATACTGTAAAAAATCTGGAAAGCAAGCTTGCTATGATCAAAGGACAGGTATTTTTCGATCCCTTTGAATTGTTGTGTATTGGTATGGGTAAAAGAACAATGGGAAGCACAGAGCCCTTTGGCTATATAGCAGGGTAATGACAGGAGCCTAAGGGACAGTGACATCATTACACTGATAACTGCCACCATGATGTTACTCTGACACCTTTCAAAGACTTGCACACAACATGGATATTGTAGAGAGTACCCTGTTGCACATTATTTAAACTGGAGAAGGGGCAGTGATTACAGAACTGCTGATTACAAGAGGGTCAGTTCACTACACCATACCATGTATTATTTGTCATGACTGTTATGTTTCCCACTCATTGTCATTCACTGCTAAAATAACAATTGTTATGGCCAAAAATTATCCTCATAGCTTACAGAATTCAGCACAAGGTAATTTATAGCTGCAGGATGATAAGGAGCTCCCCAGCAGTGTAGTAAGTGCCCAATTTCTTGTGTAGGTCACAGGAGTACACTTCGTTCTGCACCCCTGTGACCCATATTCAGCTGTTAGTGGGCTACAGATGGAGGTCATTCAGCTGGTCAAAATTCTGAAAAGATCCCGACTTTAATGTCAGGATCCACTGAGATGCCTGACTGTCGGCAGCTGGCTCAACTGCTCAGTGCACCACTGAGAGCTTGAGCCAGCCATTCCCTGCCCCTCCACAGCCCAGAGCTCCAGTGAATGAGGGAGTGGCAGAGCAGAGAGCCTATGACTGGCAGTTCACTTAAGACCAAGAACCTAGCAATCAACATTCTTTGATAGTTCAGTTCTCGGTTCAGAGGTGGCTGGAGAAGGGTGCAGCATTGGATCAATTCTGCATCCACCTAGGTGAGTTTTCATGTTTTTTTCAAAATCCGTACTTCTCTTTTAAGCCAGGCAAGATTAAGTTATTACTCCTGTATACTTTTCAGGGTTTGACTTTCACGTTTGTTCAGTTTTCATCTTGTGTTTATTGCTTTATAACATTTTTAGAATAAAAAAGAATTTTACAAATACTGGTTGATAAAAATATAATTGAATACAAAGACATTGTTGAAGTTATAAATTTCTATTTGAATTATACAAAAAAATATCAAGCTTTAATTACATTGTAAATAACATTTTGCTGATAAATATGTTTAGGTATGGAGGACACAAAAATGTAGAAAATAATGAGTTGCAGTACTATGAGGTATTCACATTATTCAATAACTAGTCTAGGTGCTCATTCATGGAATGGAGTAATTATGGGAGTGGGTGCATGTCTCTCTGTAATCTCATTATAAACCTTTTGGGCAGGTACAGATCATGTTCTTCCCGTGAGAGATTTCTATCTTAAAGTGAACTTAAGCTTTGCCCATTCAGGCAATGCAACTTGTTCACCTCAAAGCAAACCCAAAAAGCTACTTATACTTACTTTACCCTCACTCCCCTTCCACACCATTTGCTCACAGAAGTGATGAAAAGAAGTCCCATGTAAGCGCCAAGCCATGGACAGGACTGAGGACTCTCTCCACTGACAGCGTTGGTTCCCTGACTAACAAAATAGCATGCAGAGGTGCTGTTACAATACACAGGAACCACTTGCTCACCTTGGTTTCTTTGGCAAACTGATGAAAGATAAGCATACGAAGCTGCAGAGACCGGTATGCACCAAATACGGCAAAACAATGGGTTAATGTTACGCTTAGAACAAAATGAATTATAGTCTGCATTTCTATTTTAATTTAGATTTTTCTATTATTCAGGAGTATTCCACTTTGTTTACATGTGTATCTGCTAGGATTTTTTTTTATCAAGCTATAAAAGACTGAGGCTGTATTTACACCTTGCATCTCTTTGATTTTCAGAAGGAGATCAGCAATGCCAGGTCTCATAAATCAGCACAGGTTTCAATATTGTTCTAGCACATCAAATTATGTCAAATGATAAATAAATAATACAGAAAACAATGGGGAACACCTATCCAGCAAATTACCAACACAGTTTAATGCGCATCAGTCTGCCTCTCACTTAGCAAAGTCTCTGCAACAGGTTTACAGTGTTTGTGAGTCTTGCATCTGATATCCCAGGCAGCCAACTACAACAGATTTATCATGGGAGGTGATACAGATTTGCTATTAAACCAAGTCATAATTAAAAAGTGGTCACACAGGATTTATTTGGTGGCAGTGCAACTTTAGAGCAGCTGAGGGAGGAATTCATGACTCAAGCTGTGACCTTGTATTAAATCTGTTGCATTATCTGTCTCCATGTCCCTGTTCAGCATTGCCTTACTGTGCAACAAACATGATAAATGTCTCAGTATAAAGCTGGCCATACACTGTTAGTTTTTTGGGTTTGTTTCGTTCAGCCATGAGGATTCTTCAAGCTATACAAATGAGGTGGATGGAGCAATTCTCTCTGCCATGACATTGTATTCTAACAGCTGCACATGCTAATTGGCTGCAGCTGCTGATCGGTGGAAAATATTTACAACCTTCA